TAAGTGTCAAAGCCTCTATTTTCAGTTTATCCGTGTGAAGCAAGGGGAGGTCCCCCCAGCTCCTCTTTTGCTGTCGCTTCTGCTGTCTCTTCACTTTAGTCCTTTTTGTTCTTGTTTACTGCCTATGTAAAGGCAGATCAGTCTAGCACTGCCCTTTCTCAGTCTGCCTTTTGCATCCATCTTGGACAGACAGCTTACCTGAGTAAAGATCTTATAGTCTTTGTCAATCTTTCCAGCCTTTATCTTTTCTGACTTTACAGCACTGACCTCAGCAATAGCTTTCTCCTCTGACCACTGTTTCACCTTTCCTCACTGCCAGCTCCGCACCGAGACTGTGATCGCCTCCTTGCTGCATTAGCAGAAAAATGGATCAGTGATGCTTTAACCGTATGTAAAAATGGGGATGTTCCATCAGGCCACAGAAATGGTTGACTGAATGAATTAAAAGGTGAACTTCAGAGCTGTAATTAAAGCTGAAGTTGATGTTAGATTCTCTAAGCCAACCTTTCCCCAGTAACCATGCTCTGAGGGACATTCAGCACAGAACTTTTAAAATTAATCTTACTTAAAAATTGTTTTCTTGCCTTATAAACCCGTCTGACATTCAAGTCCTCTGAGAACATCCCAAAATGATTCATATGCTAGGGTCACTGATTCCTAGTTTCTGTGGGGCTTCTGACTGTGGAAATGTTGGATATAGTTCTGTCCCCAGCTGCCAGAGAAGAGAATAAGCCAGAAGGAGTTCACTGGCAGAAACAAATTGTAGTTTTCATTAATGCGATATTTTGCCAATGATCACTTTCAAATAGGAGAGGAATACGTATCATAATGTGATCTTTAAAATATTACTTTAATGCTTATGCATTGTGAGTATTAAGAACTTAATGGATTTAGCCAACCTGAAATTCAGCCATATTCTAAAAACTAAGGTTAATAACACATTTCCTTAAATAAAGAGTTAATCAGATGGCAGGATTACCATCTTTTATTCCCAATGCCAGAAACTAAATGAGCCCTGTGTCCTTGTCAAGATCATAATTGTGATAAAAATGGTCAGTCTTCAAGCAGGATTCGTGTAGATAAAACATGCACAGACAGAAGACTTAAAATAGTTTTCTCAAGAATCAGGGATGCAGATACGGTGAAGTAAAATCAAGAAATCCCCAACTCTTCCTCTTTGCTAGGCCACTATCTAAGGCTATCAGAATGAAACCAATTTTAAAATCCAAGTAACTTTCCCTGTTGAAAAAACACATTTTGAGTTTTCTTTCCAGTTAGGGAGAACCAGGTCTATGCTAATCAATGGAACGTGCCCAGAGACCAACTGGCATGGAACAACATTAACCTGTACTACCAAACTATGCTCCAAAATGGTGACAGTACTCAATCAACACATGAGGAAAAGCCCATGGGCCTCCCCTGCCAATTCCCAAACTTTGGCAATCAGCGAGGAGACAGCTAGTTGGCTGGAGCCAAAACCCTGCCAGCATCCATCATAACAGTTTAACAGCAAGAACAATAGCGTTTCAGCACCAGGGAACACTCTTCAGCACTGTTTAATTTGCCAGTACAGATAAAACCAATATGGCAGAGTTAAGGGTGAAGCCCCCCTACTGAAAAAGCAATAGCTTTTATTAAATTTTTCCAGTTTGACCAGGCCGTCTACCATGTTTGTCTTCACAAACAACTCAGTTCTGACATGTGTCTCACACAGCCTCCAGTGCCAAACCCAGCCGGTCAGCCTGACACATATGAAGAAGGAACCACAGTGCCAAGCTGGAGCCAGAAGTGTGACAGCTCCCTTCACTCTGTCCTCTAAGAACAGGCCCGTTTGACAGCTATCACCCTCACCTACCACCGCCTCTCTTGGGATTCCCATCTTGCACGGCCCAAGAGAGCTGGTCTCGCACCGAGAGATCTGATACTCGTATTTTAAAGGACAGATGTTAATTTCGCACATAGGCACTGTAGTAAAGAGCGCTAGCAGAAACAGCACAAAATGAAAACAAGATTACTAAAGAGCAAGTGACACACTGGAAGCATTATTTATAGAATCAAGTGAAGATTGCCCTAATGATCCTTTAAAGGTCTGAATGCACATATCAACAAGTAATAATACGCACATTACAAAATGGTCAGGGGAATAAAAAACTTGAAGCATGGCTGCTAAGCAATTCCTTTATTTCTGCCCACATGAAAAGGCAAGTCTAAGAGAATAAAGCTAAAAATCCAAAAATCGATACAACTTATTACTCACGGAAAACATGAGTTGTACAGAAAAAAAGCCAAAGAATTCATCTTTCAGAAGTGTTGGGATGGCATTTCAAAAGCAATGCCTTTCCTACAGTGAAGAAACTAAAAAATCCTTCCTTCTTGATGGGGTGATTAGCTGAAATAGCATACACATCCCTGTGTCTCTTCTACATTTTTTAAAGAAAGTTCCAAAATTAGACATGAATATATTGAGGTGAAAGGGGCATTTTTGTAGAAGCCTTTTTATTCTTTTCAATTAGGTAGCATAACATGATGCTCAAGAAACAGCAGATACCAACAGTCCCGCCACACATATGATGTATGTATCTAGACACAAAAGTGACAGCACTCATCTTTTCTACTCCCTAAACTCTCATTAAGAAGAGAAGAGGTAGACACCAAAGTCTAAGTAAAACAAGACTGCCAAAATATGACTGTCAGGTGCAAGCAAATCCTCAAGAGTGCAGAGCACATACTGACCCATTATAACACAGTGAAAGCCACATCTATCACAGCACAGCAGAACTCGAAAAAAATTAAAGCTTGAAAGTAACAAAAGGGGGAAAAAACAGGTCTCAAATCAACCCTTCCTTAACACCAGAATATTGCCCAAAAAAGAAACACAATCATTATTAAACTGGTACTCCACATGATCTCAACAGAAGGGTCGAACAACTTAATTTTCATGAAAAGATAAAGTGACCTCCTGCAGCTCAAGTTGCTGAAAGTGCAAAATGAAATTGTTACAGATTACTACCAGCTCTACACTTACAGAACTGAACACTGTCTTTTTTTTGGCAGCAGAAAATAATTTCACTTGAGGTATGACTGAAATTCTTAACTTCTGCTTAAAAAGAAGCCCTTGCTGAACTTGACAGATCCCCTGAATCAAAAGGAAAGGAATTAAGTTTAAATCCAACCTAAGTCTATTAAAAAAAAAGTTCTTTCCTTCAGTTGCTTTACTGTTGCATGGCTGATGTCCCAGTGTTAACAAAATCCAACTCTAATTTTCAGCGAGACACATTTATGTAACGACATTATACAACTTGATGTTTAAGACAGACGGCTTAGGTATTTCTTTGCTATGGTTCACATGACATGAGTGACTGATTATCTAGGTTCTGCACTGAAAAAAAAAATGACGCTTGCATGCCATTGTAAAAATCATTGCTTTGCTGCACTGGAACACAAATCTCAAGAGACAGCTCCTCAATCATAACGTTAGAAGACAAATATACAGATGAAAGTACAACGCGACTTTCAATTTTCTTGTTAGTTCAAAATAATTCTTCACGCAAGAACACACAATACACTCATACATCACGGGGACATGCAGAACTCTCCCATTTAGGCATGAAGGATTCCACATCAACTTAAAAAAACTCTACAGTTTGATGTTGCTTTTAAAATATGTCACACAAAACGACACGTTTCTCAACAGAAGTCATGTCCTTCCAGTAACAGATATTAATTTATCAATAGCTAGAAAAATCAGGGTTCACAAAAACTTAAGGAAAGCATCTGTCTCTGCACTTGAATAAAGCATTGTTACTACAGAAGGATCAAATCTGAAAAAAGAACAAATTCAAGACATGGAAGTGTCATCTATGACAAATTAATTAAAATGGGCCAGTAACCTCCATTTGCTCTGGAACCTGAAGAAACTAAGTCTATGCATACCATCAACCTCAACTCCAGGAGCAGCTTTGTAGGGACTGGCAAATATCCTGTCACGTTACCCCCTTGAGCAAGCCAAAACCAAAGCTTTCTTTTTCCCCTCCAAAACAACCCTAGTGATTCATGCACGGCTAATACAATGTTATAAGGTGCTATAAAGAAGGACGGATATTAATGCTATTAAGACCCAGATGGCAATAAATCATGGCTCTCCAGGTTAGAAAAAGCAGCATAACTCTGGCTGGAGTTATGATATAGTTCTATAAACTTACAGAAGCTAGAAAATGGAAATAAAGAACTTCTGTTTCTCAAGCCATAAGAACAATGCAGCATCCAAAGAAATCAGGGTGAACATGTAAAAAATAAAAGGAAATACTTGTGCTCCCCAACCTCCCAATTGCTACAGAATGCTGTGGGAGCCAAACATATAAATAGTTTTCAGAAAGCCATCAATTTGGCTTCACATAATTCTATAATTCTCCCACCACCCCACTCAGTGTACTGCCCATCACTAGCCACTTGTTAAGTAACCTTCACCTTCCCTATTCACTTGAATAGGGTTATGCATGCTCATGCACAGGTGACATTTTATAATATATTGAGCACATCTATTTGACACCTACTAAAGCTTTTACCTGACAAAAATCCAAGTTTATGTAGAAAAATTCAAACCATACACTGGCAACATATTCTGCAATTCTATTTTAAGGCAATAAAGGATGCATTCAACATATTAAGACGTCTAATCTTAATTGGTAAAAAAAATTCTAGAACTTGAATATTCCATTTACATCAGTGAAGCTTCCTTGCATGATTTCAGAAATCAATCCATTTTTCATTCAGATTCACAACGGTAAGTAATAGGTATGTGACAGGTATAGCAATGACGAATCCCAAGATGTGCATGAATTAAAAGATCTACTTTAAAGATGTAATAGTGTATCTAGAATGACATTATTGCATATCTAGCACAATCAGTTTGCTCAATACTTCTAAAAGCAAACTGGCAAAAACATTGCATGCAGATAGTAGTCCATAAAAAAACTCAAACAATATAGAGTAGGCCTTACCTAGCTGTTTTTCTCGTTCTTCTCTCCGTTCTCTAGCAAGCCGTTGCCTGTCATCAACCTTTAGTATTGTTGGATGATCTGTAAATGGAGGGAGGGGGAAAATATTAGGCGTATTACATAAAATCAAATAGTACCATAAACAAGTTTTTATGGGAATGACCATTAAACAAGTCCAGTTATTCTACTTTCAAAATAGATCACATTTCCAGAAATTCATCTTCGGAAAAAAGATGGAACAATTAAAAAAACATGAAAGTATTCTAGTTATCAAGATGTAGAAGACTCCCAAAGAACGGACTAAGCTGTAACTCTGAATTCCAAGCAAGACTACAGCCTGTGAAAACGCAGGAAGAAGTTTTGTTTTGTTTCCAAGCCTATAACAAATCAATTGCTTGAGAACATGCTGACAAAATACTGTCTATTATTCTATAACCTCCCTCCAAAATGCATCCACAGGAAATTCTATTATAATGCAGCACCGTTTTCCTACCAGTATTGCCTCAAAACACCCAATAAGCCCTGTTTCACAAGACTGAAGCAGCTCAGTACCCAAGCAAAACAGGCTGGATCAAAACACTGTAGAAGTTCTTGTTGAGCTTCTAAAGATAGCATGATATTGATCCCCACAGATGTTTGTGTGCACATGGGTTAAAAGCCCTGGTGAACGCGTTAAGACAGTGCATCACATGCATAGACTGGTATAATACCAGTAAAGCAAGATGATAGTTTCCTCAACTATGCTTGTAGATTGAAAGTTGACTACATGATTTCTTTAAAAATATCAGCAACTGGCCACTTGGATCACAGCAATACGACTAAGAATAACATGAAAAATCTGTGTCAGAGCCCAGGCTTGACTGTAAAAATTCAGGCTTGGTTGGAAAAACATCACTTGCTCAGTGAGTTCTCTGGAAAACAACAAAATGCTCAACGGCTAGCATCCTACTTCCAGGCTCAGCAATGAATGGAGCTGTTCCAGACAAAAAGGGAACAAAATCCAAGTTACCAATTCATCTCAGCATGCTGCCAAAACTAATTTCCTACTCATCCTTAGCCTGTTCTGTTAAACCTGGAAAGCTTTTCATTTCATGGTTTTTTTTTACTAGCACTGAAAAAGTCTGCTTTGAATAAAACCACAAGAAAACAAAAAACACCACAGAAAAATCAAAAAGACTTCTGGGTACAAAGAAATGGTCTGATTTATTTTAGTATTGAGGGGAACTCAGTTTTTAAGTATTTTAAGATAAAGAACTACCTAGAATACTGTCACCATGGAAGTACACATAAAAACAAGACAACAGATCCTTTTCACTACTCAATGCGAATACACAAGTAAGCAATTTGTAAAAACATGTAAAGTCAGCCTATTTGTGTATAGACTGCACAGCTATGAAAAAGTTACTAGAAAATCATACAATGGGTCATAAAAATGAGGTTAAAGATATTTGCAAAAATAAATCCCTGAAGTGAGGATGTGCTAGACAGATTTTAATAGTTATTTGAATTAGACAAAAAAAAAAAACCCCAAACCAGTAATGCGCATTTCATACTCGTAACAGAAGTTTCTGCATCAGGATGACAGGACTTCTTAGATGAGAGAGTTCACTGACAACTAGCTCCAGTTTAATTATTCTTGAACTCTCATCAGTGAAAAAACTATCATCTCAACAATGGTCAGAGACTACAACCCCAATTCATGGCATTAATAGTGATGCAAAGTAAGAGGTGCAAGGAGAAAACCCGCTGCGTAGCTGGTGGGAAGAACACCATTCAAACACGACAGCCCCAATGAAAGGTGCAACAAGTGAACAAGTCACCAGCAAAGACAAAGGTAATCCATCACCCAGCTGCAGATCAAACCTTTAATGTTGGTTGAATAGCACACAGTGCTGCCATTTATGAAACTATGCCTGGTCGTGCCATTGATTTGTCCAATGTACGGTGCAGATTAACATCTGGCTGATGTTAAGAAGTGTGCTGACTTGCATGCGGTCTCTTCGGCACGCAGACACAGGTCAAAAGGGTAATAATATTCCTTCTCTCTTGTGGCTGGCACGTGAGTTTCACAAGGCATGAACTTCTGTAGCATGAGTAATTAGTGCTAGTGGAATAATGCACACCCAATATGAATTCCCCTGAAAAACAAGTATTCCCTTCAAGGGCCGTCAGCAAAGTCAACGTAACATCAAGTTGACAGCAAATGATGAGACACTGGGGAATAACGTAAAATCCTGCTTCTTTCAGAATGTACTATTCTCCTTCCAGGTTCTTCTTCCTTTCCTGAGAGGAGAAATTTCCCTATTGGGCAGAAGCAGCAATTCTTCAAAGACGCAGGAGGGTTATATGGACAAGCAAACTGAAAAGGTCTCCCTTAAGAATTCCTAATTATAAGCAATGGAGGGAATAAAATAAATTTTTAAAGCTACCCTCTGCCATTCTTTTTGAAGATATCCAATTATTTTTCCCGTATCACACACCTGACAGTGTTCACACACACACATAGCCCCTCTCCCAGCACCCCAGGATTCTAGAACAATCCTAAAGAATTCACATTAAGTTGCAGGCTATGCAGAGTGTCAGCACGTCTTCAGTAACAAGCTATTTTGCATGCATTTGGGAGCACAAAGAACTAAATCAATATTAGCACAAAGATGGAGGTAACACCTTTGTAGCAGACCAGCATTGCCTTTGCACTGCTAGAAGCTGGAGCATACATTACCGGTGCAAATCTTATACTGTTAATTAAAATGTCTTTTGTAAGCCTTGAAAATGATCCTTCATAGTTTGGCTACAAGCCCAGTCTCCAACAACTGCATTCTGAATCCAGCTGATCTGCTGACACCCCCAGTACATAGCTTCAATAGCTTCAAACTGTGGCAAAACAAGGAAGCTCACTGGGCCTGCTCCCCATTTTGTCTCTCATGCCTGCTCATTAACCCGCCAGGCAAATACCTGGGGAACTGGCATTTCTTATTATTCAGTAGGAATACCAGGACAAATACACAGGGTACCTTGTACTCTTTCTTGCTCGTATTCATCATCTGGCAATAGCTTTAAGTTGCTGCACAAGGAGATGGGAAACATGTAATTTGCAAGAAATCCTGCAAGAATTCCTTAATTCTTACAGAAATAATTGATAACTGGGCATATGCAAAGCCTTACAGAGAACACCCCAGGAAGACCCGCATGCTGCCGTGGAAGTTGCAGTCTGGTTGTGATGAAATGCATGTGAACGCACACTCAGCAAGCTATTTCACTACACTCACATAACACAGAAATTCTTATTATTATGCCTAAGAGGGATGCTTGGAGATTCAATAACCCATAGTTCTATAAAGGGGAAATAATTCGGTACCTATTGCCAGAAATTAAGCTTCTAAACTACATATGAAAACAGTATTTTCATAAACTTACAACACTTACTGTTAGTTCAAGGTTATTTTTAAGAATTTATTAGTTCATTTAAAAGAGCTTAGAAGCCACGAATGGTATTTTGCAGAAATTCAGCACCGCAATGTCAGTCTTTTTGGTCCCTAATTATATTAACAAAAGGAAAATGCAAGCTTTTCAAATCTTCTATATAATTAATACTCACTGAACTCTTAAGCACAGCTGACATTCGTAGAAATTAGGTTATAATTTTGCTAAATTAGTAATTGTCATATGTACTTACTACATATGGCCAGTTTCTGTGGTTCAGGTAACTATCAGCTGCACTCAGCGTGACTTCAAAAGTCACACTACTACTATTCTTTGTTTCCATCTATAATCCTCTCAATCTCATCTCACAAATGACTGCTTCCCTTCTACCCTGGACTCCTAGGGTGCTAATTTCTTGTATTAAAGAAACTAAAAGGGATATCCAGTGTAGAACAGCAGCCAGTTTGTATGTTAGTTCACAGGGGTGCTGCAGGGAGAAAGAAATGTAAGCCACAACATTATTTGAAAAAACGCATTGCTTGGATCTCAAACTC